GGACTAAGTAGAGGAGCAACACTTGGGGCTCTATTCTCTCCCTAATTATCAATCAACTTGCTACGTGGAATTCATGCTTCAAAGGTATAATTATGTGATTCTTGTGTGTTATGCATGCGATTTTGTTTTATGTGCGTGTGAATATGATTCATAAAATTCCGCTTAGAGTACCTAAATCCCTACAAAAATGTCTCCCTAAAACCAAACCCGATGATGAACAACCTATCAACGACACTATTGGTCGGGTTGAGTATTTAATCTTAGGAGTACTTAAAATTTATGCTCAATCCAATACAGTTTACAAATCAGTCCAAACATTTATTCAAACCTTGTCCAAACCTCATTTTCAACCCAAACCATTTTAATCCATTTCATTATCTATTCATTGAGCCCAATTAATAAAATTATAAAACCCTAAACCTGAAATGAGTCCGGGATAATAGAAATGACGCATAATTTATCACGTGTTTTGTTTAAAATGAGATAAAAATGAATTTTAAAGAAGTTTCTAGAAAACTGAAGTGCCGCGCCACGACACTGTTTTCACCCGATTTTATCTTTTTCACGCGTTTTCATCTTCAGAAATGATAAAAATTTACCACCGCACCATCTCACGAGTACTGTGCCACGATACTTGTGTCGTGATGCGATGTTTTTTCTTTCCACGGCGCCTCAATTCTAGGATTCCGGATCTTATCCCTCATTTCTCCTCTATAAATTCAAGCATCATTTGCAGTCTCAGGGCACTAATTCACACACTCTTTTATAAATAAATAACACAATCTAAAATAAATTTTCAGCTTTATAAATAAATTAAAATCATTTTTTATAATGCTTTAAAACTCTTTTTAAAATCAAACCAATAAACCAATTCAATACTACATTCATAGTCTTTAAAAACCCTTTAAATTCAATGATAAATATTGATTAATCTCATTAATTTAAATATGAAAATTAATCTCATAAATTATAAAATTAAAATTTGAAATTTAATTAGAAAAGATGAAAATAAAGGAAAAGTTTTTTATTTATTTTATAAAGCGGTCAAATAGTAGCCCTACCAGTCACGATGGCAACAACGGCGGTTCAATCGTGACCTAGTGGTCGATAGTGACCTATGCTGGCTGCCAGCCGTGGCCACGGTGGTGGTCGGCTGCCCTTGTGGTGGCTCGCTGCCATCTTCTTTTCTTCTTCATCTCTTTATTTTTTTTTTCAAAAACTTAAAATTTTAAAATGCTTACTTGATTTGAAAATTAAACAACCTTTGAAAATTCATGACTATGAGTTTATATAGCTCTCTCATTTAGTCATGCTTGCCATGAAAATTCCTTGGCTTGCTCCTCAAGTTTATTTAGTTAACATAAAATGAAAATAGAATTAAGACAAAGATTTTGCAAGAATAAATGTTTTAGAAAACTTGGAAAGATGCTCTAGCATAAAATTATTTTCTTGTCATTAAATTCTTTCTAGAATATTTTTTAAATAAGATGATCATCTAATTCCCTTAAATTTGGGTGATCATATTTTTTAGTTTATTATTCTAGAATATTCTTGCATAATAAAACCCATGTCATAAAATAAATTCAAATACTTACTTTAAAATATATATGATAATAATTATTCTCAAGATATTTATTAAACACTTGTATAAAATATTTGTATAAGCACTTACTACTCATATTTATAAAATTAAAATATTTACTTTTATACTATATAAATACTCTAAAAATGTGGGATATTACAAAACCATCGTAGCTAGTCACACTCGACTAACTATCAAAGTGAAAGCACTCATTAAACAATCTCATGCATGCATGCATTGAAATGGAGGAGACTAATGCATTGAAGAATGCTTTGTCAATGGTCGAACCTCTTGGTAAGTTGTTGAAAATGTATGTCGAACAAGCTTGCCTCACTCTAAAAACTCCAAAAACAAGGAAGCAACTTATCTCCGGGACACCCCCGTCCAACAAAAAATCTAAATGTAAGGTTGTTGCTTTCAGAGAAAAGATGGGTAACTTTGGAGAGAAGGTGGGTACTTCCAAGGGAAAGGATGGTGAACGTACTATTATCCGCGAGATCGTCAACATACACTAAGAGCATTGAGATAATATAATAAAGTCTTTGGTTATTACGTTTTTTAAATATCACCCTATGTTTTGGTCTTAGTAGTTTAATTCGTATATAGTACTTGAAAGGATGTCGGCTGGGAACCTTATTATCTTAGGAATATAATCAAATGATTTCGAATTATATGTTTATTATCTATTATATTTTTGTTGTTATTTTTTACCGGAATTTAATTTTGTTAAAAAAATTGACGAAGTAAATTTTTTTGTTTTTGGTGAAAAGGAACAACTAAATTATAGTAGCAAGGTTTACGTAATAATTATAAGTATATGTCAAACTATTAGCAATATGTTCTTTAAAAAAATGTTACGAAATATATATATATATATATAATTAGGGATAAAAATTACTAAAGGTTGACAAATGAAGCAAATTATATATATATATATATATATATATATATATATATATATATATATATATATATATATATATATATATATATATATATATATATATATATATATATATATATATATATATATATATATATATATATATATATATAGGAGTTGGATCACGTGAAAACCAACCTTAAGTTAAAAACTGAAAACACAAAATCTTGACCGTAGATTCAAACTCATCTTATCCTACGGTAGGGGTTTTTTCCAGCCTTTTGGTTTCTCTCTCCTGCATTTTCATGCATAACATTCTCTCTCCTCTCTTTTCTCTTTCCTGATTTCTACATTCTTCCTCAAACTTCATACTACTTCTCCAAAGCATAGTTGTGATTGATTCGATTCTTCATCAAATTGATTCCTATTATTGTCTACGATCTATCAAGTAAGGAAATCGTTTATAATTTTGCTTTATTTTAGCTTTTTTAATCAATGTTTTTTGAGTTTTTTTTTTTTTTTTTTTTTTGAGTTTTTCGTTTCTTATTTGTGTAATTTTTGAGTTTTTCGTTTCTGTTTTTTGTTATTTTCTGATTTTTTAATTGTTTTTTGAGTTATTATTTTGCGTTTTTCATAATTTCTTCATACCGTTGTTTTTTGAGTAATTTCTTGAGTTTTTCGTTTCCGATTTGTTAATTTTTTTTGAGTACTTTGCTTCTGTTTTTTATTAATTTTGTAATTTTTGGCAAATTTTGTAAGTTTCGTAGGAGTAATTTAACTTTATTTGAGGTAGTTCATTCTTAATCGAGTTTCATATAAGTTTAATTATGTTATAATTCAGCTTAATTTCTTCGTTTGGCATTCTGAGCACATCAATTTCGTCATCAAATTTTTCTACGTTAATCGATCATTTCATTGTATATTGATCAATTTCTCTATTTTCAATTTGTGTTTGATTTTTCGGCTTAATTTTTTGAATTTGATTTCGATTTTTTCGGTTTTATTTTTTCTCAATTGTGTTCGATTTTTTCATTTTAAGTTTATCAGTTTGTGCTCGATTTTTTCGGCTTAGTTTATCACTTTGTGTTCGATTTTCAATTTCATCATCAAATTTTCTGAACTTTGTGTTTTATTTGATTATTTTGATGATATTTTTCTAATGTTGCTGCATTTTATTGATGTATTTAGTCTGATTGTCAGAAATGTGATTTCCTTGCTTTTGTGTTGCCGTAGAAATTGTTTATATATACAACCTATAATTGGACAGTAAGCTGCTCGTTTATGTATAGGTGTGTGATTGGGTGAAAGTTCTGCTTGTGATTGTGAGCGTGTTGATTTCACTCCTGTGTGCTGTGATGTGTAGATATGTGATTTTGCCTATTAATGGGTTGTTATATGTTGTGTATAAGAAAGAATGTGATTAAATAAGTTCTGCTTGTGATTGTGATTGTGAACGATATTTTGTTTAATTCTGCAGTAGATTTGTACATTTTCATTTAAGATTTTATTCGAACAGTAGTGCAGATCATCCATGACAGTCTAGACATTTGAGTTATTGTTATTATTCCACTCAAAGAGTAAGAGAGTTGAATGTTAATACCAAGTGGTCAATTGTATTGTTATCCTACTATAGACTTTCTTTTGAAGTAATGGTACCAGAATCTAAGTGCACTCTGATACGGAGCTAGATATGTATTGTTTTGTGAATCATAGCCTCATAGGCTTATATCTGTTAAATGGTAGAAGTGTGTCCTTAGAAATTTATTTCTAAAATTCGAGTATGCTAGTTTGCGTTATTGCGAGCTCTATCATACCTAATCTTACCTTGTCAGCTGGAGTTAGTATAGTAACCTTCTTCAGCCTTTGTGAAGATTTATCTCTGATTGTATGATTTTTGGTGCCTGCCTGTTCAATATCTACATTTAGTTGGGATTCCTCATATACAGGTGGCTTGCTCGTATCATGATATCCTGGTATGCTTTTATTTGCCTCTGCTTCTGTTCTTGAAACGTTGATCTTGTCAAGCTTGTTTTGCTTCAGTCTGTATGATGTTGGTCTGTGATGTTGGTATGCTTTTATTGGCTGTTTTGGCATGTTGAAAGCCTATTAGCTCAATTGGTCGAGCACCGTGTAATCACGGGATGTAGGTTCGAATCCTACATAGACTTTTTTAATACTTATTTTTATATTTATCGACTTCTAGGTAAATGGTGTCAAATTGATGTAATTACCCGAAGTTAATATATAGTTACCTTATTTTCGATATAATGACCTTAGAATTATGGAAATGTTGTAAATTTTGTTTCAGTCACCTTATTTTTATATATAGTGACCTTTATTTTTGTATATAGTGACCTTTATGTAAATGGTGTCAAAAACTCAGACGATATAGTTACTTTATTTTTGTATATAGTGACCTTAATGTAAATGTTGTAAAAATTGTTATAGTTACCCTATTTTTGTATATAGTGACCTCTATGTAAATATGGTCAAAATTGAAATAGTTACCCTATTTTTGTATATAGTGACCTTAATGTAAATATTGTAAAAATTGAAATAGCTACCCTATTTTTGTATATAGTTACGTTATTTTTATATATAGTGACTCTATGTAAATATCGTCAATTTAGATAAAGTTACTTTATTTTAGCATGTAGTGACCTTTAAAACGTTGCGTTTGTCAAAAAAAAAAAAAAAAAAAAAAAGACCTTTAAAACGGTTGAATTGATTATATGTAAGGTTGGAATGATCTTAGGGCTTTAGAACCGTCTGATCTTTTGTGCTAGTAATGAATAGCTAAGATTGCTTGTTTTTAGTTTTCACCATAAGCTCTGTTTTTAGCGGAACCTCCCCGTATAATAACTAGCTGAATAATGGACGGATCAGATCATTTAATATCTAGAATTCAGGATCATGCGATTAGCTCTTCACACTCCAAATTCTCTCTCCTCCAACTAATCTCTCTCCTCCATTGATGCTAGTGCTTTGAGTTCTCCATTAAACCAGTTTTCGAGCCTTTTCTTCTCCATTAAAGCGGTATTCTTGCTCTCTGTACTTCATTGAAGTAGCTTGTGAGATAAGATGTTTTTTATTTCTCTATTTTCGTGCTCGTCCATGGTGTTGTATAATTTGGTGATTTCACGTCGAATTGTCTGAAATTTACAGGTAAACATTGTGATTTTTGTTATATCAAATTTCTAGGTTTTATTTATTTATTTATTTTTATTTCTTACTCCATGTATTACTCACAATTTGTGTTTGAATTTTGGAGAATTAGATTTCTAGGTTTTTATTAGAGAATTTTGGTGCTCGAATTTGTGCTATATTTTCCAGATGTAGCGTATGAATTTGATCAAAGTAGACTATTGATTTGTTCGATATCGATTATTGAGATTCGTTTTAGTGTTTCGGTTGGAGTATTGTTTTAATTTAATCAAATTAGACTATTTAACGAGCATATATTGAGTTTCTAAAATCCGCAAATTGATTAATTTCAAGATCATACATTATTTAGTGAATAGTGATATTTCGAAGCTATTCAATGTTTCACTACGAACGATTTTTTCTGGCTTTTGAGTTATTATAGCTAATTTTGACTACTTTTGGATGGAGCTTGAGTTTATGCTAATTGATCCTATGGATGATTCTTGTGAGATTTACAAGTTGAATTTGTTTAAAGTAATTGGAAACCAAGTAAAAGTGAACAAATTATAGTGTAAAGTTATAGAAAAACTAAAACCATTATTTACATTATATGAGCAATCAAAATCAGAGGGAGAACATAATTAGTGGTGTGGAAGCTGGTTGGGTTGAAGTGATTGTCAATGTTGTTATGGTAGATCTCATACCTATGTCCATGAAAGAATTTATCTCATATAAGTAAATCAACTCTCCTTAAAAGTAAACTAAATCTCTCTAAAAGTAAATTAATCCTCTCTTAAAGTAAACTAATGCCAACAATGAGGACTTTTTGATGTTTGTATCTTTGGTGTGGGGTGCGTGGTCTTATATGAACTCTATTGTGTTTAATGAGCCATGGAAAAACCGGGTTATTGGAGTCATGGGTTTTGTTCAATTGGTTAAGAATTATAAAAACTATACTGATAGGATTTATAGGACATCTAGGGAGGAGTATGAATAGGGCAGTTGTTAGGAGCTCTTGGGTGCCACCTGTTGCTTGTAGAGTTTGTGTATGCTGATGCAGCGCATTTTCAAAGGTACAGGGGTTGGCTTGGGTGTTACAATTAGGGATGAGTAAGGGAAGATTATGGCTGTTATGGTGCAAAGATTGAATGCATAGGTGGCTGTTGTCTGTTGTCATGGCAGAATCCTTGCTGTTATGGTGCAAAAATAGTAAGCAATGTACTTCTGATCCATTTCTATTTGTTCAGTTTTGTTTGCTTATACATTGCAGCCTGTTGCTATAAAAAGTGGTTGTTTACTTTGCAATTTTCAGAGCATGAAGAATTTGGCATTAAACATCATAAACTACTAGTGCAATTTTCCTCTGAAAGCTCACAAAGGCAAGCCTTATCTACTTTGCTAACATTTAAGCAGTAATTTAAAGAGCATGAGAATCAGATTGTATAACTGAAACTTGATCAAGAGTAGACTTGTAAACATTCACCTCAAAACTATCAAGATCTGCCTCATTGGATTGACTTGTACGTGAACATGCTCATTAGATTGGCACAAAAATTGATGCAAAATCATGGTCTGCAATCTATATTGCATGTTTATTCTTTAATGTAATTACTTTTGGGCTTTGGACTGTATTCTAGTGTGCGAGCAAGCATTTTCTATGGCACAGAATTTGGATCAGATGGCAGAGGTGTCCTGCAAGTTGATATTGTTGTCATGCAAATTTGTGATTGTGTTGGGAATATCTTAAATAAGGGAGTTCTTAGATATGTTATATTTTTTTTTTATTTTGGAAAAGGTTAGGATCGGTGAGATATATGACTGATAATGGATATATTTTTTAATCCCACCAATTCTTTTGGGGTTTAAAATTTAGGGAATGAATAAGATTAGAAAGGTAAATTCCTAGCTACATCAGTTGTCTCTGAAGTAAATTAAAAAGAATTTAAAGTAAGTAAAAAAAAAACTTTAAAGTAAACCTATTAGCTCAAGTGGTATAGCACTTTGCGGATACATAGAGATGTAGGTTCAAATCCTACATAGGTTATTCAAAATACGTCAAAAGCTACATGAATAAGCAATTATAAGTGACTCCGCCTTTTTTTTACCATAATTCAGAAAATGGTACTTTAAAGTCGTCAATCGATACAAAATAGTAAACTAATACATCTCAAGAGTAAAGTAAATTAAAATATATCAAAAGTAAATCAAATTATCTCAAAAGTAAATTAAAATATTTCTTTTGAGATTGTACTTTGAAAGAGAATGAGAAATTTGTTACACATGCCTCCAATATATCTAAAAAATAGTAAATCAAAATAATATTTCAAAATTAGAATATCTCTTAAATAAATCAGAATAGCTCGACAAGAAATCAAAAGTAGATCAAAATATCCCAAAAGTAAATAATAAACACTAAAAAGTAATTATTAATTAAAATAATAAAAATTAGTGTATGTATAATCAAATGACACAAAGCAATGAATAGTCGATCTTCATGGGTACCCTACATCATTGACCTTGAACTCTCTATAAAATGAGCCAAAACTCTACAAACATGAAGAGTGATCAAATATAAAAGAAGAATGAGGTCATAGTAAAGGTTTTCATATTTAAAGTAAATAAAACAATAAAAAAAAGTAACTGAAAAAATTTAGAAATCAGATTTTCAAACATAGAAACTATTTTTTTTACGCTAAAGGGAAATAGATTATATATTACATCAAGGTGACAACAGCCAACCTAAACAAAAGATTGTTCAAAGAGATTAAAAGTACCAGCATCCTACTACTTAGGGAAGACATAAAATAAACTAAGCAACAAAAAATTAAAGCAAACATAATGCCAGCAAAAGACTTGCAGAGAAAGACAAGATGAGCATAAGGTGTTGAGCAGCCGTTATCATCAGGATTAAGCCATAGGGATTGTTGGTATTTCAGCAGCATAAGTGTCAAAGATCTCAGCAGGGGGATAGTGGAATAGCACCCTTTCACCAAGTTGAACTTTAGTCCTTACAATAGTTGCTAGTTTGTGAGCCACGTAGTTAATTGTTCTGCTAGCATGCAAAACAGTCACTGACCAGTTTCTTTGCAATAACTCAGCCACATCTCTTATAATGTTCCCTGATCGTGGTCTCTAAAGGAGTTAGGATTGCTCAGCATTTTCCCTAAAGCCTCTGCATCTGTTTCTAGTTCCAAGAACTTGATTTCTCCATCCCAGGAAATAAGGAGACCCTCCCTTATAGTCAGAAGCTCAGCTAAAGCTGCAGACATAGCATTAAAATTTATAGCATAACATATTTGCCAAGTACCCTTATCACACCTTAAAATGCCACCACCTCCAGCTTTGTATAGATTGAGTTTAGTAGCCACATTACACAAATGAACCTACGTAGGATTCAAACCCACATCTTTGTGCATTTGCACAATGCTCTACCAGTTGAGCAAGTAGGCTAGTGTATCAAAGTAAAGAAAAATCACTCTAACATAAATAAAAATATAACAAAAGTTAAAAAAAAAAAAAAAAAAAAAATGTAAGAATAGTATAGCACAGGTAATTGGTCCTACAGTAGCAAATATTCACATAAATTTCTATTAATGTGGGTGCTTGTCGAACAATAATACGAGTAGCCTCATATAGAAGACAGAAATAAACAAAAGGAACCACAAAACTAAAGCCACCTTCTTAGCTTTTATGGACATTAGGCTTTCATTGAGTTGCTTTTCCAGCAGCTGTTATTCTTTCATGCTCAAGCCTGACAAATCTTTCTCCAGCAGCCTCGTGTAAATTAATACAGTAATGGTTAAAACTCAAGCGATTGAGTTTAGAATAGTATAGCACAAGGTTGAATCAATGACAAGTTCAAGGAAACATACATTGGTTTCACTTGGAGCCTTGATATCTCATCTTTCACATTATTAATCTCCTTCAAATCTTTGTTCGGCTAATAAGAGCACAAATCAATAAGAAAGGCTTGCTACAAAATAGGCCAACAATTGTGCAGCTGGCCTTAAATAGCACAATACATCTCTAACGTTATCCAAACACTTCAACATTATCCATCCCTACTGTCTTAAGATAACATTCAAAGGCTTTGCTAGTAAAAGATGTCAATTTATGCAACATAAAAAAAGGGAAAACTCTTTTTAACAAACTGCCCTTTTGCTTGACAGTCCAAGAGATAAAAGTACTGCAAACCCAACAATTACAACAAACCCAATTGCCATTACTACCAGACGGTTTCTCAGTCCAATCCAGCCTAACACCTCCTCCTAACAGAGGTTCACCAATTCATCATCATATTATAGTCTTACTTCTTTCAAGCATTTCATCAAACATGTAAAACTCAATCTAAAGCTCAAGCTAAATCCCAAAAAAAAAAAAAAAAAAAAAAAACAAAAAAAAAACGTCACTTTTGTATTCATATACTATCTCCCACGACAAAACTCATAGAGCAACTAAAATAAAAATGCAGCAACTACCCTAATTAAAACAAACAAAAATGAAAATCCTAAAAAATAACCTAAAAACACGAATACAAAGTTATTGTAGTAATTTTAGCAATTGAAATTATAATTTTCAAACAAAGAATTGAAAGAACTATAATTTCAGCAATCATTGTAAATACGCAAACATATAATTGTATAATCCCTAATATATCAATTGAAATCACAACGACTCAAACAAATAATCGAGAAAACCCTAAATCGCAAAAAACCTGTTTCAAATTCGAATTATCATAGAAAATAATGATGATGAAAATCAAATCAACTTACCTGCCCATAAATTTGCTAGAATAATGAGCAAAGATGAAAAGTTGCGAATTTGAGAAGAGGACTTGCAAAGAGCTCAGTGACCGCAACTGTCGCACGAGAGAATTTGAAAGAGGAGAGAGAAAATGGAATGAAGAGAGAGAAAGTGAAAATAGAAGAAACGAAAAAGCAGGGATAGTCATTCAAAACGCGTAATTACAATTTACCCTTAATGAGGCGGGTAAGATGACAGCCATCAGATTATGCATGATCAACGGTCACGATGAATTCCTAATTCTAATTATAGGTCTTGGTTATCTAGTGATCTCAATTCTATATATATATATATATATTACTAGCCATGATTAGTATACTTACCGTCCTCATCTTTTTTCTCTCTCAAAGTTTTTCCTTGGAGGTTTTTGGTTCCCTTTAGGGTTTCTCCCTTGGAAAGGTTTTTCTAGCCTTCATTGCTAGATTTTTTTTGTTTTTTTAGGTTTTCCTTACTCTTTTCCTTTTCTCTCCTTCTCATTCATCTCTTTTCTTCTGGTCTTAATATATTTGTATGGGATAGCTCCTGGTGAGCTATCACCACACTCCTAGCTTTGCTCACAGGGTGCGCACTCATGGCTGGAAGGGCATTCAAAGGGGCTCACCAGCCCATTAGAGTCGGCTTATAGGCTGACCATGTATTACTCCACCTAAAGAAGATTGTACATCTATAAATAGAAAACCAAGTACAGCGAAAAAGGGGTTAGACACATAAGTTATTACACACACTCTCTCTATCTAAGCACACTTTCTCTCTCTAGACACATACTAACTTAAGCATCGAAGGGGGGTTCCTCGAGCCACCCCCGAGGGCAGTTACGTTTGTTACCCTGTGCAGGTTACCCAGCTGGACCCGGCCCGTACCAGTCCGAACCCCTAGTACTATACATGGAACAATTGGCGCTAGAAGAAAGGGCAAGGATTATCCGTACTTAAAGTTCGCCGACTGAGCAGAGACCGGCTGGTTAACCGCCATGGCCGGAAGCGATGACAACACCAACCTTGAAAACAACCAAATACCACAAAAAACAACACCAGCTACTACGAATCTTAAGGGATCCACCGAAAAACCCAAATCAACTATATCCAATCCCACCGGACTAACACCTGGTGCGACAAAAGCAGTGGTGAAACCAGGAGATCCGGTAGGATCCAGTTCATCTTTTAAATTCAAAATACCAGTATCAGGCTTGAATAACGAACTAATCATCCAAACTCCCCCAACCTAGAAATCGCAGCCTGTTTACATGCCGGCCATCCTCCAAAAACTTTCCAAATGCAGTACGCAACAACTGGCGGCGATGATGACGGTGCTTACCAATTTTGGTAAAGGAGCTGGCTTGACATCAGTTGCTGCCACCTCAGAGCCAGTAAGCCCACATCACCACTTCTCACCCCGAAATAGAAAGATCTAATCCAGCTGTGGAAGAGGGTTTTAGAACTACAAGTTCGCAACCTGAACCAGGATTGGGGAGAGGACGAAGCGGTTGAGAAGGGAAGCCTAGAGGCACGAGTCACTTGCAGCAGATCTCCGATCTCAGAGCGAGGGCCAAGCCTGGATAGGGGGAAGCGTGCGCGGCTCCAGGAAGGGGTGTTCGCGGTGCGGTTTGGATCCTAAACTGTACCAAACCGCAAAATTGCGGTTTGTATTTTTTTCAAACCGCAAAAGTAGTAATAAAATATAGAACGGGTCGTGATTTAATAACTTTGTGGATTAGAGGACTAACATTTAATACTTTCATTTTCTTTTGGGGAAGTAAAAAAAATTTAAAACTTCTTCTACACTACATTTTTTTTTTACGTTGTTCTTTTTTGGGAGAGAGTCGGTACCCTCCACTTGTTACAAAAATGACGGAATTTTTTTTTGCTTGTTGTTTGTTTTTTGTTTTTGCTTGCACACACACACACACACATACACTTTCACATAGCTTAAGTCATACACAGTCTAAACACACTGCACACAGTCTGCACAAGTCAGTTTAAGCCAATCATGTCAAGAACAATCAGGTTGAGTCGATCAGTCGAGTCTTGAGTCAACCACAGTCCATTCGAGTCTCTCAATATAGCTCTCTTTTGCAGGTATCGAGTATATTAATCATTGTCTATACAATCAGACACACTTGACTAGAAGGCATTGTCATCATCATCACCATCATCAATCATCATCATTATCTTTATCATCACTTTCATCATCATCACCAATGCATATACAGTTAGACTAGGGGTGAAAGTAATTCGGTTTAAAATCAAACCGAACCGCAAACCAAACCAAATAAGCAATATGATTCGGTTTCTTTTTTAATATGGTGCGGTTTGGTTTTGAAAATTAAAAAATATAGTTTGCGGTTTGGTTTCGATTTTAAGTTTAGAAAAACCAAAAACCGAACTAGAAACCGAAATTTAGGATTCCTAAATACCTAGAGTCCAATCCTCTTAAAAAAAAAAAAAAAAAAAAAAAAAAAAAAAAAAAAAAAAACTCGAACTCTTACGCCATCATTAGGACTTGTTATTTGATAATAGCCTAATGTATATCATTTGTTTGTTTGTTTTGTTTTTTGTTTTTTTTTTTTTGAAAACTAAATTAAATCAAGCCCAAAAACAAGTTTTGAAAAATTAAGCCCAAAAAATGTTACCAATCAAAGCCCAAAACACTAGGCCCCAAAATTGCGGTTTGGTTTTTTTTTTAAGAAAAAAAACCGAATTAAATATGGCGTGTTTTGGTGGACCTATTAATAATATGGTGCAGTGCGGTTTGAAAAATCTCAAACCGAATTATATGGTTTGGTTTTGGTTTGAGCTATAAACCACACTGCAAACCGAACTTTCACCCCTAAGTCAGACGCACATGACTTGAAGGTATCGAGCAACACCTATACAATCAGATACACATGACTTGAAGGTATCGAGCAACACCTATACAATCAGATACACATGACTTGAAGGTGCCACCACCATTAACATCATCATCATCACCAATATCTATACAGTCTAACGCACATGACTTGAAGGTATAGAGCAACGCCTATACAATCATACACACATGACTTGAAGGTGCCATCATCATCATCCACATCTTTTGTTTGAAGACAATCGAACACCTCATAGCTTCTGTTCGGAGAATATCGAACTACTTCTATAGCTTCTGTTCGGAGACAATCGAGCACTCTAGTAATGTCCTGCGGGCACGATGAATTACTGGTTATCTCTTGGCAATGTCCTACGGGCATAGTGAATTGTGAGTCGTCATTTCAGGCGTTGTCCTACGAGCGTAGTGAATCGTCTTTGTTGCGAGCTTCTCGAGGCGTAGAGGTTCATGATTCCCCATGGCAATGTCCTGCGGGCATAGTGAATTGTCAATTATCCTTTCGGACAATGTCCTACGGCCGTAGTGAATTGTCATTCATTCATCCGGCGGCGTCCTACGGGCGTAGTGAGTCGTCAATCATCTTTTCGACAATGGCATACGGGCATAACGAGTTGTCAATCATTCATTCATCCAATAATGTCCTTTGAGTGCAACAAATTGTCAACCGTCTATCGACAACGCCCTAACGGAGTAGTGAGTATTAATTATCCATCCGACGATGTCCTACGGGCGTAACGAATCGTCACTTCATCATTTCTTTCGCATTTAGTGAGTTGCTCGAGGTGTAGGAGCTCATGGTAGATTTCTCAAGGCGCAGAAAACTACTAACGTATTTGGTGCCTACGCATTGGTGTCAGATACGCATTTCTATCCCTTACTCTTTTATTTGTGGAACTAACGCTTTTCTGCAAGTATCGGCGTATACAGATTATTTAAATCGCAAAATGTTTTAAATCATTCTCCATCCCTATCAACTACTTTTACTTTTGTTTTTGAGACTTGTGTCTTTACAAACTCAGTCAAAGTGGGGGCTTCTGTAGAAACCTAAAAATCTCCCCGACCAAAGCCTGATGATGAAACAACCTTCATTGCCTAATTTGGTCCAGTTTGCGTAATGGTTCTAAGAATTACTTAAATAGAACTTTTGTTCTAGCCCACTATTATTTTCTAAGCCATTTTAGCCCTTTTGTTAGCCCAAACCCTTTTTTTAACCCAAAATCCATAAACCTTAGCCTAATTTTCTCTTTTCGTATTTGCAGCCCAAAACCGAGTAAATTTGATTTTCGTGCCTTATAATTTTATCCAAATCCTAAATATTTGGATAGCCCTTTAAATAATATTTTCAATGATATATCATAAGCTCAATTCCGATTTGAAACGAAAAAGATATGATCAAAATACCAAACTCTATCCAAAACTGACATCGTTGCACTATTTCGATTATATCTCAAATTATACAAAAGATATAAATCTGATTCTAATTGGGTTGGAAAGTATACTTTCATAGCTTTCCAACGATATATTATTTATCTTATCCCGAGTTCTGGATCAAAAGTTATGATAAAAACAAAAACCGCAAAATTGTTGTCCTGCGCTACGTGTTTTCTAAATTCTATCCTCTTTCTAAATTCTATCTTTACCCAATTTTAAGCCTATAAATGCCACCCTTATTTCCGATTATTATCAATACAAATATTTTATCAATCCCAAATCATCCCAAAAGGCTTAGATTAAAGCTTCGACGTACAATTTCTATTGTTCTTGCTTTATTTCTAATCTTATTCAAGTAATTTAAAGACCAAAACAAGATCCAAAGGTTCTACCTTTTTTACCAAGGCGTGAAGGTATAATGCCGAGGGTGATATCAAATTTTCTAATTCTTTAATTTAATTCTTTTGAATTATTATTTTTATTGAAGTTACTAACAATTTATTTGATGTAGTATTCAAAGTTGCACATTTGGAGTGAGTATTTAATTCTCTTACTTTTATTTACTCTAATTATTTTAATGCTTTGATTATTAGTATCATGTTTAGGCATTATATTAATCTTGTTAGTATCATGCCTAGGATTTTATTAATAATTGTTTAGTATCATGTTTAGGATACTTGATTCGTTTCTCTAATTATTATCTAGTTGCTTCCAATATTTCTATGCATGCTTATATTTACTTATTGCTTTAATCACCTATATTGCATGTTTAATTGGGAATATGTTATTGAAAATCACGCCTAATAAGATAATTTGGATAACCGGTGTAGGTTCCCAGTAATCTTGTTGCTTAATCGAAGTGATCACAATAATTAGTTTTACGTGTGCATTAAATATTCAACCAACTTAGATTAATTAGTTTGGAGCGAATTGAATCTTGTTTGTATGTCTTTTGGGTTGCAATTAATACATGTCGCTATAAGAATCGAGTAGAGGCCAATACGAGTGACATTGGGTTCATGACTCAATCCTTACCATCATCCTCGAATATCCACTTATGGTTCAGGACCACTATGGAGTTAGTAATCTCATGGATTATGAATGGAGTGTAACCTTCATGGATCAAATCGTTGTTGCCTTTGGTTTGTCCCTTTTCGTGGTTGCCTTTATATGATCCATGAACGGTTTACAATTTCCTTATAAACTTGTAGGTGGCTCCCTACTTTTTGTCCCGATCGTTATATGTCAAATCCAACTTCCTATGATTGCCAAGCATGTTCACCTATGCTCCACGTAGGCACACTTCGAGCGACACATAAAGGTTGTTGTTAGTATAATCAACTTTATTGTTATAATAAATAAAAAAAATTATTCAAAATTTATTAG